CCATTAACAATTTTTTCTTTAAGTTATAACATTATAATGTGACCCCTTAAGTTGATTTTTCAGTTTTGCTCAAAATCAAAACTTAATAAAAAAATTAAAGAAAATGTGACAAATATGTCACATACACAGTTTTGATTGCCTATCTATGTACTTTAAAAATATCTTATTATTATTTAAAAAAATCTTATACAGGGCGAACTTTTTGATATGAATCGTCGAGATTAATTTTTCCTAAGCCAATCCTGGAATTTTTACCTTTTGAGGATATGAATTAAATGATAGACACCAGTGTAAAGCTTCACCAAAAAATTAAAGAAATCTAGTAATCCTAGTAGATTTTACGGCCATATAAAATTTGGTCAAAATTCACATATTAATAACGAAGGGGAGTTGCCACTTTTTAATGCTCATATGATATACCCCTTAAGGGCCTCTACATATGGTAGAAGTCTGTAAGGTTCCTCATGACTCACCCTGTATAAAATAAATGATTTAATATAAATATATAACAACGGCATAAATTCATTTTTATATCTGAAGAATCGAATTGATAAATATTTACCGTATAGTTTGTTTGGCATTCCTCAACAAGGTTAGTGCAACATCTTTGCGCTGAGGCGTAAGTAGCCTGCTTAAAAATTTTGCAAAACAGGAAGATTTTTCAGTCAATCTTGCTGTTTTCATGATTTGGTCAAACGCCCACCTCTGCTCTATACGCTCCGGACGTTGACGCATGTCTTGTACAGTAGATTTTTAAAATATTAATGTTCACTTCACATTTTTCGAACACCGATTTCAGCCAGCGACTTAATATTTGTGTGGTGGTTGTTTTATGAGGTGATTTTACAGATAAAAATAAAAATCTGCTTGAGATTCCCGATAATGCTCAGTATGTTTAATTGCTGCGTTTGAAAAGTACATCTTTTTGCTTGTTTTACTCGATAGCGTCCTTTTTTTTCCGTTTGCTCCATTGATATGATTTGCTCGATGTCACGTGCCCAAAAAATATACTCACTCTGCTCGAGGAGGTACGTTTCAAACGTAGCATAAGTATTCTGTTAAAGTTAAGGCAAAGTATAATTTGGGATTTTCGTTAAAAAACTTAATAATTGTTTTCTTTTTGGGTCAGATGTTTTTATAATACCGGTAATTAGGATTTCTAATCCACACCAATTATGAATAATTTGATTTATTCTAATTTTAGAAAGTGTTTGAATACGTTGTGCTGTCGTAATTACCCCATCTCTAGCAATTTTTTAGTCAGATTTTCTAATGTTAATTTTTCTAATGGATAAAGCTTTTATAAGTAATTAAGGACGATTGCCGGGACCCAAATCATCTGATATTTCTGGAATTTAGGCCTTAACCTAAAAATTCACTATGAATAACTTTTAACCAATTTCTCCTGAGCGTAATTTTTGTTAATAAATTATAAAGTGTAGAGCTGATCTTTGAGCGTTAATAGTGTTATAGGTAGTATTACTATTTACATACGAGATGGTTGTTATGTTTTCGATGCGAATTAAAATATTGCTACCGTGTGTATTTTTTGTAAAACAAATTTAAAGCATTTAAGGAAGCTAATAATTCTAATTAATGTATGTGCCTGTTCGTTTCATGAATAGTCCAGAAGCAGCGCCCCATTTTATATCCATAAACTGTCTTAATGTCATAGGTGGGTATTTTAATGTTATTGCAATGGCTGTGCAGTTTTTCTAGCCACCAGTTTATGTCGACAGACCAAGAGGTAGGGATAGCTACATCTGCATTATAACCATTATTTTTATTTAAGGCCAAACATTTCAGTCTCTCGAGTCTTTTCAAATGTTCCCAACCATATTTTACAGCAGGACAAGCCGAGACTAAGTTTTCGATTATTTTGGCTAGATCTCTAATTTTAAATAATTTTTTACATGAAGCTTAGGCATGATATTAGATTTCATTTTTGCGGTTAATGATACTGTCATTTTTTCTATATCGTAACAAAAGCATGAAACTGTACAAGAGCGATTGGGATACGTTGACTTTTTGCAAAATTTATAATAAATTCAAGGGCCTGTAGTATTTTTATTGCATCTGACACATTTCTGGTGCTTTGAGTAAAAGATGATTTATTACTAAAATGTAGATATATATCAAATATCATTCTCTTATATCTCAGGTAACTGATAACTGGATTTTATTATTTTTTTAATACATATAGACCTGTGCAAAGACCAGCTGGCAGTGCCTTGTATTTATATAATGTATTTTTGAAGTAAAAACCTAAGTAATAAGATTGTTTTATGATTTTCTAACTTAAAAAGAAGTGGAATTATATTTTTAAGTATGAATCTGTAACCACCATTTGGTTTTTGCCGTAGAAAATGGGGCGATAAAAACTGATGTCTTCAACTATTATATTCGGATATAACATCCTTAACAATAAAGTCTTTTAACAGCTATTTCGACTAGTTTGACCTCGTTTGCTTTACAGCGAAAGTTTTTAACATTCTGGATTGGCTGTTATTGGTGATTTTTGTCCAATTTTTATGACCACTCCATTTTTTTTTTACCTTATTTATTTCTTATACGTTCCCGATAGTCGCCGCGAAACTCGTAATTTGACCTCTCCCCTCATTCTTGTACAACTCCCTGTTTAGTCGACCAGATTTTGGTTGGTAGAAGGGGCGTCTGAAGTTCGAAGATGTTGAGGTTGATGGTATTGATGCATGTAATGAAAAATTTTTCTTTGTGAATGTTATCTTTGATGCGTTTCCTTTTTTTTTGTTCTGTTGTTTTTTTTTGCATCTTTCGCGACTTTGAGTTCTTCGAGCAAATGTTGACCACATAAACACGCATCAGGTTTACTTCGTGAAATAAGTTTCTTAACGTTAGGTGTAACTTTTGGATATATGAACATATACAGAAATATCTATGAGTTGACAACATGTTCCTTGTATCTGTCAATGTTTTTCCCGTATCCATGATTAAAGGCAAATTTTTCTCCCGCGAACAGTTTGGAATATTTTGAACGAAATTGTTCGCCATTCAGCTCTATTTCTACTCTTTCCTGTACTTCACCTTTTTACAACAGATTCGTTGATTACACTAGTGTCTTCATTCGACGTTGACGGGTATTCGCCCAATAGTGAACAAATTAAGTCAGAATTCACATTATGTTGTCGATGAGTCTCCAAATGTAAAATATTGGGACTCTCTTAATCTGATGATTTATCGTCTGATAAGATAACCCTAGACCTAATCCGACGAGGGTGTCTATTAATTATTGGGTTGCTTAAAATGGACAATAAAAAATTGTTCAATAATTATTATGTTATTGATTTATGAGAATGTAATTTAGTTCGGACGTAACTACTTTAGTAAGTGGTTAAAACTTAATACCGAATGCGCATATTTTGTTTAAAACTTATACCACTTAATAATATTTTATATAACCCAGTTTGTTTTTTTTTCCTTCAGTGACTAAAACTTATACTACTTGTCAATATTTTGCGTAGCACAATTTTTGTGGTTAAAAACTTATACCACTTACATATTGTATATAACAGTTTTTGTTATAAAAACTACTTGTAATATATTTTATATAACACATTTTTGTGGTTAGAACTTATAACACTTAAACAGTTTCTGTGGTTAAAACTTATACCACTTGTCATTATTTTTGTAGCACAATTTTTGTGGTTAAAACTTATACCACTTGTTTATATTTAATATAGCAATTTTTGTGGTTAAAACTTATACCACTTGCATATTTTATACGACTCAGTTTTTGTGATTAAAACAACTTTTATCACTCATGTATATGTTGTAAATCATAATTATTGCGGTTAAAACTTATGCCACTTCAATTTATTTTGTAAAGGACAGTGTATGTGGTTAAAACTTATACCACCCTGTATACGTTTGTTATTTTTAAATGCATGTTTCAAAACAATACGAAATTTTGCGATTAAAATTTGTGCCGCTGTATATTTGCAAGTTAAAGTATTTAAAACCTTCAATACATTGGAATGTACCACCATATATTATTTATTTCGCGGTAAACTAGCATAATGTTTTAAAAAGAAATTATTTGATATAATAATTTTTAATTGACTTACATGATTCTTTCGACGTAACAAATAAGAACGAAGAATCATCAACGGATACTGCTGATGATTTTAGCTTCCTAATTTTCCTAGATATTTCCTCACGTTTCCTCTTTTTTTTTTTCATTTCTCTTCCATTAACCATATTTAATAATTTTCACTTAGTTTAAAATTATATTACAATTAGTATTTTTATATATTAATGCGACACGTAGCACAGAAAGAAGTGTTCTGATAGCATGCTGGCGGCGATAAGGAAACTAAACAAAAAAGTGTGATTCAGTAGTTAAAATTGTGGCACGTAGATATCGCAAAGAAGCTACTACCGGGTGTTTCAAGTATTTGGAAAAGACCAGTGAAATATAAATAAAAATTCCCCATCAATAAGTTTACATACCTTACATATCACTCTTAACACTTAATTAATAAATCCCTAAATAATGGCAGACATCCCGAACAAGTTTAAGATTTCAATAGTTTCACTTATATTAGAGAAATTTAATCTGCATAAAATGTTAAGATAAAGACAAATCTCGGTAATTTCATTTTTTTTTATTTTTTGAATATGCAGTGTTAATTCAGTTGATTGATTTTCTCAATTTAAATAAAATTTTAACGGAATTCTAGCAAGAATTCGGTCCGGAATATTTTACCATCTTTTTTATGAGAAGGTACTTGGTTAATTAACTACGAAAAAGTTCTCCAAGGTGTTTGACTTCTTACAACATGCTATCTGATATATAAACTCTAAACTATGGTCTTAGAGTTATTGAAAATAAATATTATGACTCTTACGTTAAAGACCGGTCTCAATTAAAACTTACTAAATAATATTCTTATGTATCCATATAGTTTATTCTAACATTGGTATTTATCCTACTTTATTTTTAACCGAAATAATTTGTTTAGGAGAGATGTTCCCCCCAACGGCTTGGGTCTATTTATGATGAAGCCAGATGATTGCCAATATCGATGTCCAGAATTGGATGCGTGTATTAATTCCAGCGTGTGGTGTGACGGGATCGAAGACTGTCCTTCGGGAATAGACGAAGCTATAACGCACTGCTCAGTAATACTTCAACTGCCTCCTGTATATTTATTTTTCGGGGCTTTAGGGATTATACTTTCCAGGTAAAAACAACTGTTTTTTATAAAATACCGAACTATATATATTATATCAGATTTGTTTTGGAGTAGTGTACTATCATTTAAAAAAATATGTTGGAAAATGGTTGGTATACCTAGTATAATAGTTACTTATAATAATTGTTATGTGCGAAAAGGTACTTTGAATACGTATGCGCAGATGTCAGTTTTCACGTATACGTACGATAAACATTAGTTTATGACGGTTATACTTTAAATCAATTATCAATGAGCATGGTTATTATTATTATTAGGAACAATAGATATTAATTTAAGATTGTTAAACAGTGATGATGGAACAATATAAAAAATACTAACTCAAATCTCTATCACTAAACAGTAGTCCGAATCATGTTATTCTTGAATTTTCATTTGTCACGGCCAGAAACGGATTTACAAATGTGTTGCCTATAAGCAGAACCAAATCGCCGCCCATACAGGGTGATTTTTTGAAAAGGATCCACCCTCGATAACTTCGTTCTCGTCTTGATTCAGGTAAAATACAAAAACAGGTCAATTTTTATTCTTAGGGAACACATTTTTAGATCACAACTGATTTTGTCGGATCAACCCCATGGCCCCATCAGCCCCCACCTCAAAAACCTTTAATAGCAAGGGGGGCCGAGTGACCCCTCGTTGGAGAGGTTTTTGCATTTACCATACGATCATGTAAGAATTATTTCGTTTTGTACAGGGTGGTTCCAGAAAAAAGACAAATTGCAATAAATAAATTTACATTTCGCTTTAATTGGTTAATTTTTGGAATAAAAATCGTATTAATTGTTTACAAAACGAGAAGAAACGGATTAAAGTAAAAGGAAGCAAAATCACAACAAGTGCTCAAAATGACTACCGTTATTCTCCATGCAGTAGTAAAGGCGGTTTTCAAATTCCTCTCTCACCCGTTGAAAGGTTTCTCTAGGGATTCTTCTGCATGCGTCAGTTATTCGTTGTCGCAACTCCACTAAATCTGCTGGTTGAGTTTTGAAGACAACAGATTTTAGGTGCCTCCAGAGGATAAAATCTGGTCCTGTCAAATCTGGTGACCGTGGAGGCCATTCTATGGCTCCCCGGCCTGCCAATACAATGATGCGGAAATCTCTGATTCAGCCAGTTTCGAACATTCACAGCGAAGATCGGATTAACATACGTACATTATTAAAAATACGTAGGACATTGATGCTATCAATATCTGACGGGCTCGAGTATGTCCATGCAACAGTATTTTTTTATGTATTTAAAAATCTATAGCCGCTTCCCCCACTGATGAAGAGGTATATATTATATGACATTTTTTTCTTCTTATCATCTAAGCCTTGCAACCCAATAGGTCTCTATGACGCTCAAGTAAATCCTCATTTAGCATCGTGGGCTCCCCTACTATTAATATTGTATGTACCTATTGCTATATTAATAAATTAATTTTGGTATTTTTCAGTTTTCTAACATCTGTCATCTTATGGAAAACTTGCCGCCGAAGACCGAGGTCCATACTCCAAACAAGACTCAAAAGCCTGTCTTCAGATACTGCCATCATCGACGATCGCGACATAATTTGCTGACACAGCGACAATTCTGTACGATACGTCGAAATCGACAGAGTGACAACTGTCTGACGTATATACTTGGATGTAACGTACAGAACTGTGATTAGCAAATTCTTTTTATAAATACTACAAATAATTTTTCGTAACGAAAAATATATGGTACTTGACAAATTTTTTTTTGAAGAAAATATAGATTTGTATACATTGTTTCATAATGTTCGTAATAAACTACAAAAAGTTGTTTGAAATGTCAATAAAATTAAACTTCGTATAAATTATTCATTGTGTTCGAAATACAGAGTGTTTTTTAAAAATTATATAGATCGTTACTAGTTTTTCAAAGACCTTCCTAACTGTACTCGGTCGTAGAAGGTGTTGGCTCCGACCGATTTTCTGCTACCTACTAATAACCTATATATTTTTTTAATATATAAGATCCTAATAATACTTAATAAATGGCAGCAAAGATAATACCCGTGGGAGGACAGCTTTTTCGACTGGAATGTAATAAAAATGAAGAAATTGGTGCAGCAAACTGGTAGCAGGTAAATTATTCGAAAGCAGTTATTCGAAATCAATTATTCAATAGTCAATTATTCGTAAGTCAATTATTCGAAATATAAATTATTTGAATATGGCTCAGTGGTAGAAGTCTGAACTTGCGAATCGAAAGGTTCGTGGTTCGAATCCCACCGATGGCCGGGATTTTTTCTTTAATTTATTTATTTCACTGTTGGGTTCTATTTATTAATAAAATGTAAAAATTTAAATTTTTAACTGCCTGCACCTGTTGCAATAGTAATTTCAGAACTTTCAGCGTAATCGCATTTAAAAGTTTTGGTCGATATCTTGAGAGTTTTGTATTTTTTTGTTTAGAAAAAAGTTACAGGGCATTTTCAAAAGGTCTGCATTTTTTAATATTACAAAAATTATTAAACTCTAGGAGCTCTTTAATTTGATGTGGAACTCCTGTACCGACTAACTCCGTGAGCAGTTTATAAAGCATTGGTGCTTGTTTGTTTAGAATTCTAAGCCTGCAGATTTAATATCCAATCATTTATTTTTATCATTTTAAGCTGTTATTTTGATTTTACATATTATCTAACATATAGTTTCTACAATTTCAAATTTGTATTGAACGATTTATAATTAACATCATCAAAATTTATCACAACAAAGAGTTGATGTAGCCGTGAAAAAATCTCTTGTATAATTTTAATATATGAATCGTACCTTTTCAACAATTATTGTCTTTCAAATAATGGCTCTTCAAATAAATTATTTTCATCAATTAACTTTCGAACAACTGTTTTTTGATTAAATTGATCAAAATAATTGATTTTCGAATAATTGATTTCGAATAATTCTTTTAGAACAACTGATTTCGAATAATTGATTTCCGCTAATTTATTTTTAATAATTAATTGATTACCAATAATTGATTTCGAAAAATTGGTTTCGAATAATTGATTTCGAATAATTGCTATCAAACAATTTACCTTGACTCAGCAAAACTGTCAATATATTTAGTAGCTTACAAAATAATCATTGTTTTTTCGAGATTCTATTAGTTGTGTACCTACTGAAAGTCCAAAAGATGTTCATATTAAATCAAAATTTATAACACAAAATATCGTTATATTATTTTAAAAGATTGATATCTCTGTGCACAAAAGAAGAATGATTTTTATATAATAAGTACGATAATGTTTATAAATATGTTTACATAAGATTTTAAAATTTGTTTTTTATAATATGAAACACTACACAGGGCGTAATAAAAAGCCAAATCATAAATTATACTAGATATTCTGAAGCCAATTATATGTCGGTTAGACCTAACTTACTTATATACAAAAATGCATACAAAAAAATGTAGTGTTTTAATATCGATTTGATTCCAATGCCTACTTAATTTAGAAACGGTTGAATAATTTATCCTATAAATAGATATATGTAAATGGCTTTCTTAAATAAAAGCTAAAAAAAATACAAAAACAGTGTACTCATTAAAATTTAATGAAGTTTCTGATCCCTTTGACTGTAGAGCTTCGTGGAATTACATATATGACACAATAAATATGGAAAGTATTATTAGAAACTTCTTCGAATTGCCTTTTATTTATTTAACAAATTCTGACAATGACAATCCAGCTTTCCCGTTATTCGACAATTTCGCGTGAAAAAAAAAGCGGGACTTTTAAATCTCGTAATTTTTATACAACTTATTTTCTATCGTTAGTTTAAACAACTGTCATCTAGTCTATTAGGCATTCCAAACAAAATGGCTACCAGTGGGTTTTGACAGGTTATGACATGGCAAATTAATGGCAACCCTGTAGGCCTGGTGATTTGACAAGGTCAATGAAATAGATAGTTACAGAGTTCCATATTGTTTAAAATAAACATAAGCTTATGCCTTAAAATAAAAATGTAATTAATTATTTTTTTACTATATTCAAAGGCTAAATATTTTTTCAAAATATGTTCTGATTAATGAGCACTTGCAAGGCAATATGGCCACTCGCAAACGATCCGCTTTGAGCAATCTATAGGCATTTTCGGAAATCTACTATAGATATCAAATCCACATTACTGGGTTTACCCGATGGATTACGTGGATCACTGGCAACAGTTTACGAACGAGTTGGTTATTGTTCCTACGTCTGTCAATCTTTGACGTTTTCCCCTTATTCGTTAAAAAACCATTTTAGTCAAACATATTTGTAGTCTGACTAATAAAGTCGCTATATGGGCATAAATATTACAAGTTATAACTAACTAAAGGTAGAAAAGACTTCAAAGCTACTCCTGGCAGCCACCAAACACTAAAAAATTGTGTTATCCTTCTATAAAATCCTGCGGTACGCATTCGGATCTATTGCTAATCTACTTGTAGAGTGGGTCACAAAATATTGATCTCGATCACAAAGCTGAATCAATAATCTACTAGTTTCCGAATAGGATAGGGTTAGTAACCATAGGTAAACGAACAATAGCATCCATAATATTTCTGATCCGAGTAAGTTTCCGAAAACGCCTTATATAACTATATATGTATCATTGACCCTGTCAATGTCAACAGGATCACAGGGTTGTCATATTTAAATCTCAGTTTTCACTTGTCAGCAGTTTGACAGGTCATTGAAATGCCTAATATAGTAGGGCAGCGAGTGACACTTTTTTAGTACACATTTGCCCAAAATATTTTGTCAACAGGCTTTTTTAAACGTCATCTTTGGGGGCTATATCGATGCAGGGACTATAGTCTAGAAAGAAGTACAGTTATTTAAATTGCAAAACATAGTACAGGTTCAAGAGGTAGATAAAACTTATTTGTAGTTAAAATGAAAATTTTAATACATCTCATCGACCTTATGAGAGTTTTCGTTTAGATTTAATCATTTTTCCATGGTTTTTACTGTAACAAACATTTTCTTTTGACAGATAAGTTGTACTTTATTTGTTTATAGCCATATTGTATATACTTTAATTGATTCGGACTTTTGTATTAGTATATCTAGGAGGATATTAAATAGAAGAGGGAGATTCATACATAAATGAATATTGCAGAAATCAAAAATCGACGTGTCTCGGCGATTTTCCTAACAAGACTCCAGTAACGAGTTAGATAGGGGGGTAAGACTTATGATGCTCACTGTATAGTAAAGACAGTGACTTTTAAAGATAGGTCTTAAATTTTTAATTTTTTTTAATTTTTGAATTTAGGTACTGAAGTGTTACTTTTAATGCCAAAAAATTAAAAAAAGTTTAATCCCATTAACAACATATATTTCCACTGGTTATTTTTTGGTTAAATTAATTTTGGCCAATGTTGACGTGCAACAATTTTGTATGAAGAATAAGGTTTATTTTTCTTTTTTGTAAATAATATAACTTTTTTCATTCAAAATTTAATCTACGAAGTGCGTATATACCATTTTTTATGCCGTGACCTTAATTATAGAAACTTATTTTGCAAAGTATGCCTATTTAGACTATAACAAAGTATTTTCATGTTCTATAAGGTAAGAATGAACGAAATATGTGTAAAAGTGTCACTAGCCCCTTACCAATAATAAAAGTTAAAAATTACATTTATATAGAGATTAATTGGAACTCAGTATAGAAAATTTAACAACAATAAATGTTGATGATTTTAACATGAAGTAGGATTTGCGCATGAGTAATACAAATCGTCAATAACGGAAAAGGTCTATTATATAGTAATAAATTGTAAATAGTATAATATAGAGTTCTTCCGTAATATTTTGTATTCAATACCCCTTCTCAATATCAGATAATCATAATTCCTAATATATCTCTGAAGTCTCTTAGCTTCTGTTTTTCTAACGTCTTCGTTAAAAGATCTACTATCATACCACTTGTTGCACAGTACTCATTTACTTATTTTCTTCATGTACTTTAAAATATTATATTTCGCTGTCCAAATTTTTCAAAATCGAGTAATTTTCAATATCTTCTCATATTTTAATTTATTTCAGTGATTTGTTAAGGTCATTAAACAATTTTAATAAATAAAGAGCTTATTACCTACTTCTCTTCTGCCTGTCCTCCAAACGAGTGCTACGCAGTTTTTATTTTTGATTTTCCAGGTGATTAAGCCTCCATTACGAGAATATTTGAAAATATAGCCGCTGTTAGATTTTCTATCCACTTGGTTTCCAGCCCAATCATCATTTGCGAATCCATAGAGAATATTCTTAGGCATTTCGTCATCTCCAAGTAATTAATATATTTAGTTCCTTTTAAATGTTTTAGTATTTTCTGTATTTATTTCGTCTTCTTCTGTAGCTTTTTTTCTATCTACTGAGTATCAATACACTTACTTTAATGTCTGCTTTTGAATTGACTGATAGGTATAAGAGTTCTATGATTTTCCTATGAATGCGTTTCTAGTAAATTACGGTCATTTATTTAGTATAAATCTCTATTAAGTAGATTACATAAATGTTTTATACCTGTAGGGTTATGAAAAATTTTAAATAATTAATTGGGCATTCTGTCCACTTATAAACTAAAAAAAATGTAATTCGCTTCTTTCAAAGAAGTAATTTGAAATGTAGAATTAATTTTTTTTGCATATTCTTTAATTGTTTCAAATCTTTTGCATATTATTAATATATCGGCAACATAGGTTAAAATATATACAGTGTCGTTGTTTCCTTGATCTTTAATATGCAGATTCGAAAATTGAAACGCGGCCCATAAAATCCAAGTCTATTAGG